GCTCTGATTAAACAACAACTTCAGATTCGATGTGCAAAATGTAGCATCCATGCTAGCTCTGTACACAAACAAGCCGGTGATGAGACGTCACGTCTTTTACTGCGCATGCGTGTCACATCAGTGCTGTGTTGCGTTCACACAGGGGTCTGATGCAGGTCACATTTAAAATGTAATGTGAACGTTCACACAAAAAGATCGGATTTTTTCAAAAAATCGGAACTGAGCATTAAGACCTGCAGTGTGAACGTAGCCTTTGTTGAGCAAAAATCAAATGAGAACTTTTTGTTTTCCAGTGTTCCTTCTTGATTAAAAACAGTTGTCAGATTTGTTTGATTTAAAAATGTCGTAGAACTGCCTGATTTGTGAAAAGTCACAGTTGTGTTGTACTTTCTTCATGTTTGTCATCTCTGTGCATGTTCTGTGTGTCAGGGGTCTGGGCCAGGTGTTAACAGACTATGTTCACGGGGAAACAAAGGTCAGGATTGCCAACGTGGGACTCTTCGTCCTGTCCACGGTCACCTTTGCTGGTCTTTGTTACTTCAACTACAACGACGTGGGGCTCTGTAAAGCTGTGGCTCTGCTCTGGAGCAAATAAAACTGATGAAAGAACAAGAAGCTCAGGAGAACATAAAGCTTTGCTGCAAATATCTGTGGATAATTTGTAAATTCCTGTACTATTTTATCAGTAATGCATCAATGTACATTTGGTTCCTGCTTGGTTTTTGTGTTGACTGGAAACATTCATTTCTGCTTAAAGTCTGTGGGAGAGAGGTTTTTGTTCATCTCTAATGTAAACTGAAGTTTTCAACAACATCCTTGTTTCTGATGAAGTGCTGCAGAATACAGCTGTTTGACACCTTCGTTCATGTTTGTCTGTTTGTTTCGAGCATGAAGAGCAGCTCTACAGCCTTCATCTGTTCGTCCCTCCACACCAAACCAGTTTGACTCAGATCCACCTGGTGACATGTTTAATCACAGTATTAATTCACAGGAAAAGCTCTGTTGGTCTGATTCATTAAACATGAAGCAGCTGAGAAATGAAGTTCAGCCTACATGTAATCTGTGTAATCATACTTGAGCTGTGCATCAGTGGCAGCTGGGCAATAGGGGGCGCTGGGGCGCCGCCCCACCACTAATTTTGGTACACAAAAAAATAAAAAACTAATATAACTAAATAAAATGTTACAAATGTTTCGAAAAAATGTCATGCATGTTTTCTGATAAGTAAAATAAATAATTTAGAGTTGTTGATGTGTAAACTTCCTTCTTTTCATTTGAAACGATTCACAAAAAAAAAATACAATTACTGTACATAGTTCATATCACAATCACGTGCTGCAATAATTAATAAAAAATGAACAATAATTCAGAAAAAATAATAAAATTAAGAGTTTACCAGGGGGTGAAATGAAAGTAAAAACAAAATAACTGACAAATATAGAAAATGAGGTATTATTCACACAATGTGACCATGCTGACAGTGTCCTGACAGTCTTATCATTCTTATGTAAGTCTCAAAGTCCTTCAGAAACAGAAAAACAGGTCTTTTACCTGAGAATTTACATTTATACTTTGCAATAATTAAGAGTAAGTTAATTATAAAAACTCATTTTAAATTCATCATCATTCCCAAGAAAATGTGTTCATAAAGCAGTTAATCTTTATACAAGTGGGTTGTTATGAAATGGTTAAAATCCTTCCAGAAATTCTTCGTAAATGAGCAAAACCCACAGAGATGTACAGGTTCTGACAGAGGTCCAAAAAGAGCAACGTATCATTTTATACCTGTTGAAATGTGTTACTGGGTACAACTCATGAACATCTTGAAGGAGATTTCTTTAGTTTTGTTTGTAACAAAGTACTGGTTTGGTAGACTCCAGTTTTTTTCCCAGTTAGCATGACTAACAAACTGACTCCAGTAAGAAATGATGTGAGGCTTTGTGACAGTCTCACTGTGAAACAGTAAACGTAAAGCTTTGTTGTTTTTACATGAAGAGGGAAAACACAACTTTCCACAGGGGGGGTCACAAAGTTTTGGTAAAGAAACCAAACTGTGGTTAGAAAAACCTCTACACAATATTTTATCTCCATCTGGAATGGCTTTTAAAACCCCGTTACAGTCTGCAGGTGATACCCATCCATCCATTTTCTGTACACGCTTCTTCCTTTTCAGGGTCGCGTGGGTCACTGGTGCCCATTTCCAGCAGTCACAGTGAGGGGCGGGGTACACCCTGGACAGGTCTCAGTCCATCACAGGGCCACACATAGAGACAAACGAGACAAACAACCATTCACTCTCTCACTCACACCTAGGGACAATTTAGAGTTATCAGTTAACCTAACAGTCATGTTAGGAAGTCATGAGGAAGCTGGAGTACCCGGAGAGAACATGTAAACTCTACCCAGAAAGGTCCCCGGACCGGGATTTGAACCGGTGACCTTCTTGCTGAGAGGCATCAGCTCTACCAACTGAGCCACCTTGCCGCCTGCAGGTGATACATTTATGTTACATGTAGAAACAAACTCACATTACATCATTAGATTACATCTGGTGTCATCAACTGTTTTACTAAAATAATGTTTTCAAACCAGGTTTTCAGGAAAATACTCTTTTTTTAACTAAAATATCAGTTGTTCCATATAAAATAGCTTTGAGGGGAAAAGTTGTGTTTGTAGATCAGAAGCCATGCTAAAAGAAGTTTAATAGTTTTAAATGAATTGTGTTTATCTTAAAATTACACAACAATAAAAGTTGAATCCCTCCAATTTGATCAAAATATATTTTGGAATAAAGTTCCACATGGAAGCATCATTTTTCAAAAAGTTTTTTAACCATTTAGTTTTAAAGGGATCCCTGATTAGTTGTAACATTAGACTTTATTTAATAAACTTTTTTTTCCTTTTTTTCTTTTTTTTTGTGTCATTTCAGTAGAAAACGAAACCAAATAGTTTATTTAGTTTATTTATTTTTTTATCATCAGTGACTTTTTTTAAGTGAAGAGAAAATAGACAGAGAGAAAAACACAGAGAGAAGTAATTAGAAAGACTGAAATAGACAGAAGTATATTAAATATACACCAACAAAACACAGGACCACACACCCAACATCTGTCCGCTCACCTGAAAATTAAATGGATAAATACATGGAGGGCATATATAAAAATATACACATACCCATACATACATTATATAAAGATATACATACATACATGCCTACATTCATAAATATTGTCTGTATATACACACAGACATATATACACACTCAGTGACCTGTCAGAACCCCCCGGATCAGAACACCTGTTTGTGAGCAGTTGTGAACATGTGTGTATATACAAGATTTCTCCAATGGAATATTTAATAGTGACTGTGGAGTGGAGGACCGGAGACCCAACCCCCA